TCTTGATTTTCAGAGGTTTTTTTAACTCTGGAAGGAATGTGCGTGTACTGTTACAGATGTACTTACCAAGAGGTATTTTGCAATAAATACCAAAATATTTCAAAATGGCATGATTATATAGTGTTATTTTGATAACATTTGCAGAAATGTTCAATATGCATGCAGAATTTTTATTCTTTTGACACACACTTGCCTGAGGAATAGGATGTGTATACTAGAAGTCAGTTCCTTTGATAACATATGAATCAATATAATTTTTCATATACTCCTGGCTTAGACTGATTTTTTTAAAATTTGCCCATAATGCTTTTGCACAGCCAGCATATGGTAAGTTTTGTGCAACTTTTTCCCTCCCCTCCCAATGTACACATCAAGTATTGAATAACTAGCTACCCAATCCTTTATAAATCCATAAAGAAAACACTGAAGTAAAATTTACAGATTAGTTACATGCATCACTACAAGCAGAGACCTAAGCAAGTTAGAAAAGCAAGGATATTATATTTTGTGACCTGGGACTTTTAACGATTGTAAGTGGAGATTTTCAGGGAGCTCTAACAATTGAGAAACTGATTTCACTCCTTTTGTTTACTGGAACCCTCCCCCCAATTGGAGAATAAAACTTCAAGTGTGACCCTTCTGCCACCCATCCTTGTACAGGGAGTTAGGGCTAATTAACATCAGTGAATAATGTAACAGTTAAAAAGTGGTTACACACTGCAAGCTCTGCAGTGTAAAGCTTATACTGTGGAGCCCACAGTGCAACCAGCTCCCACAAAGTGGGAACCAGAAGCCAGTGCACGTGGGGAGTTGGCCTGCTTCTGGGGAGCTGGCTGATACCTCATGCTGCAAATTCTATATAGAGGAAGACAGGCACTTGTGCTGTATAGAGACTGTTCCAAGTACTGATAACCTCCCTGGAAAAAAAAAAAAAAAAACAGAAAAAAAGGAAATAGTAAAGGACAAAACAAAAAAAACCCCAGAAAAACAAAAACAGAAGATTAAGTGAGCAAGACTGGGGAGGTACCCTACTTTTAACTTTATTTTGCTTATAAGACAAGAATCCAATGGTGATCAAGGGAAAAGAACTTGAGAATAGGATAATTTTCTGAGTATTTCCAATACACTGGAAGGTTAAGAGTGTTTTATTTACACAATTCATGGCAAACATTAGGGATGTAAGCATAGTCGAATAAACAATTAACCGATAAGCCTGGGCTTCTCAATTACACACACTCCCACTCCCCTTGCTGCCTCTGATACAAAGGTGGCAGGGGGGGGGGGGGGGAAGAGCAGGGCCCTTAAGCAAGTGCCCCACAAGTACTGGATCTGCCTGTGCCCCCTCACCGCTGCCTCCAATGGAGAGGCAGCACTAAGGAGGATGAGTGGGGACAGGTTGGAGCAGATATGCGCAGGACTTTCAAGACAGGCCCCCGCACATATGGGCTTCCAAAGTGCCCCACAAGTACTGGATCTGCCTGTGCCCCCTCACCGCTGCCTCCAATGGAGAGGCAGCACTAAGGAGGATGAGTGGGGACAGGTTGGAGCAGATATGCGCAGGACTTTCAAGACAGGCCCCCGCACATATGGGCTTCCACAGACCCAACTGTCCCCCTTGCTGCCTCCTACAGAGGCAGCAAAGGCAGAAGGCGGCGCGGCGTGGTGGGGGGGGGGGGGGGGGGGCGCCCAACTTAAAAGCCAGTTCACCCAAGCACCAGCTCCGTGGTACCCCCTACCCCGCCCCCATTCCATTGCCTCTATCAGAAGCTGCAGGGAGGTGAGGCTGCCAAGGAGCAGCCTCTGCCCATGGGGGGTGGGTGAGAGGAGTCCGAGCTCCCTGAAGACCAAGGCTGCTCTGCATCCCACAGAGCATCCACTGTCTGTGGGGAGCTTAGACCCCCACACGATCAGGAGCTGCTGCCACCCCACACTGCTGCCTCTGTATCAGAGGCATCAGTGCAGGGCAACATGCAGCCAGTCCCGGAGGAAAACTGGCTTTCGGACTAGCTCTCCTTGTGGACCAGCTTCCACCTAGCATCCCATGCTGCTGCTGCTAGAGACACAGCAGAGCAGGGTGCTCTACAGGAGTGGGGCCTCAGCACATTCACTGCCAGCCCCGCCCCCAAGGTCTACTGAAAAGTCATGTAACCACCAAAAAAAGTGCATGCAGTTACACAACTTAAGTTACACAGTATCTAAGATCCCTAACAAACATTAACATCTTACAAAACCAATCTGCCCCTACTAACACATTGGAAGTCTACATAAATACTCCTTTGCTTTTCCATAAACTATTGGCCTGCAACGAAGTCGCCTACCACTCTAAAGAAAGAGAGAAGGATCCTGCTGATTTCCCCTGGCCTGGATTAAGGTTACAAAGAGGCGTGGGGCACGCTGAAATGAAGCCGGGCCCGGCCTCCCTTTGCCCCCATTTCATGGTCTCCTACCAGCGGCTGGAAGTTTGGTACGAAGGAAGCCACGCGGCCCTGGATCTCGGTGTCCCAGTCCTCGTCTCCCATGCTGCAGGCGCTCAATCTGCGTGAGAGGGCAAAGGCCTTGTTACCGGCGGCCACGGGAAGCTGCCCGGCCAAGCAGAGCAACGGACAAGGCACTCGCGAGGTCCCCGAGCCGGCCCGGGAGCGGAAGAGCTTGCAAAGCCCGAATCCTCCAGGAGTCCCTCACCTCCTCCAACCCAGGGTTGCCCTTCTCCGCAGTGCCCCATAGTTCCCACTCCGGGACTCCCCCTACTTGCTGGCCCAAGCAGGCCGCCGCCCTCAACCCCGCTCTCTCCGCGGGGCTTCCCACCCAAACTCCGCCCGCTCTCTAGACCAGCGCTGAGCAGCGAAACCATCGACTCTGCCCCCGGCGTGGCGGGAACCCCGCGCCCTCTCACCGCCTCCGCTCCTCACGCGTCACAAAGGCCGCGCGCGCGCCCCTACAACGAGGCTTCTCCCACTCAGCAGCCGCCGCACGTGCCACTATCTTACCAACCCCCCGCGCAGCTGCCCGTCTTTGTGTCACGTGCCGCGCCCGCCCACCAATGGGCCCGCGGCAGCCGTAGCGCCCTGAGGGCGGAGCTTGTGAGTCAGGCTCTCAGCCGTGGAAGTTGAGCGGGAGCACGTGGCGCTGGCTCCACGTTTGTCTGAGGCGGTTGCGCGCCCCAGGATAGGAAGGCGCCAAGGCCGGTCTAGGGACGATTAGTGGGGCTCTGTGACGCTAAGCACGGCGCCTGGCGAAGCGCTAGGGGGCGCTGGAGAAGCGGCGCTGAACAATGAGCTGCGGGTCATCGGATAGTGATATTTGTCTTAGCCTCCCGCCCGGGAGCCCCAGTGAGACATTCCGCAGCTTGCTTTGTGAGCGGGAAGACGAGACTGCAAGTTCGAGCCTTTTGTGGTAGAGCTCTGACTATTTAAGGAACTGTCACCCTGATCCACAGAGGTACACACCATAGAGCTCTGGCCTCCACTGCCATACACCAAATGGTTACAAAACATTATAGGCATCTCACTCTCTCAGTTCCTAGTTTTCAGGGTAAAGTTTGCACAGCTCCAATAGTTTTGTTTTTGTGTATGCAGTCTGGGCTCCCAGAGGCCTAGCTCCTGCTTAAGCCCCAGAGCAAACCACAAATTGAGGGGAATATTGGCAGACTATTCCCTGCCTCACATACAGATAAAGGGCATAAGATGGGCTCAGATGTTGCCTACTAGATAAGGCCCCATTCAAAATCTGGGGGGAGATAGCACAGGTCATCAGAATTTTTAGCCCTCTGCAAAAAAGGTAGAAAGAATTCATATAGAGGTTTCCTATTCATCTTAAGAAAGGTACATTAACCATTGAACTATTGGATAGACTTATGTGAAGCTACCTTGTTTCTACCAAACCAGCAAAGCTACAGAGGCATTTCTTTTTCTAGGTCAATGAGACCAAGTATCTACACTGGAATAGGGACAGAGGAGAAAAATGAATGACTCTGTAGCCCACCTGCTGATCAAGGCATGGACCTAGGAGATAGAAGACTCAGGATACCATCTCCCTGTTCTAAATACTTTTTCATTAGTTATCCATAGTGGAATAGCTTCTACAAGATGTTCCTTAGTTGGGGGTTTGAAATAAGTTCCCAAGAGATGGGATTTAAATAGGGTTCTTACTCTGTGTCAGCCAGAGAGAAGAATTGAACCTGGGACTCTGACGTCTTATGTGAGTACCTTTACTACTGGGCTAAAAGTAACAAGATGGGTACTGAATCCTTAAGCCCCATTGCTTTCAGTTTAAACTAACTTTTACTGAAATATTTCCAAATTTTATAAAAAGTATTGCCTGTTTTTTTCTAATTTTGACCCTTTTTTATATGATTCAAATATATACAAATTTGTATTTTCCTAATGAAACATTGCATGAAATATATGTATTATGCTAATATATGTGCAAAGCTGTCTAAGGTTATGTATTTGTCCAGAAGATTCATACAACTAACAAACAGGCAGCTGAGCACCAATGAATCTTATGCCCACCATTAGGCCTGCCGTCAGGGGGCAGGAGAGAGGGTAGTTTCCCTGGTGGTTGCCCTGGGACTTGAAGATTCAAAGAGGCTGGGGCTCTGGCTGCCACCACTACCAAAATAGCAGTGACAGGCAGCGCCCTGGACCCTTTAAATTGCTGCTGGAGTGCCATCCTGCACACTCTGGGCAGCGCTAAGAGTTGGGAAGATCCTGCACCCTGCTCTGAACAGTGCTGAGGGCCAGCTGCTTTCAGCCATACCTTTTCTGCCCTCGGTTCCACCATGTCCAGGGGAACAGAGCCGTCCCTCCCTTATTGGGGGATCCACAGAGGCTATCAGCTCCACTGCCCATTATGTACACATTTCAAGCTGTTAACAGATAATGGTTTCAAGATTTGATACACTAAAATGGGAAGAAAACAAATCTCTATCAGAATATGTTTCAGAACACAAGGAAATATTCAAAAGTAGATTTTTTTAAAACAAAACAGGAGAAAGGATTAAATTGAGGGTATGCACAGCAAATTCTGAGGCCCAATTATTAAACTTAAACATGGACAGGTTAATAGTTCTAAGTCTACAACAGTAAACTTTTTCTAAATAAAAGTTTTATTTGGGGATTAGAGAGATATTGTTTTCTTAAACTCAGAGATAGCATTATATGTCCAGTTCTATTTTTGTACTGCAGCAAACCACACTGATGAACAGAATTCAAAGCATTATTCTGCTGAATACTTTTCCCCTTCTCTTCCCATCCACCACAATAAATCCCAATATTAACCCAGAAAAAGTAATAGTTTTTGCACTGATTTTGATCTGGCTTTTTGTGACAATAGACACCGGTGAATTCTCAGGAAAAAATAAATAAAATAAAAACAGAAAAACAAAGGCTCTTATGCACTTTCCAGCCACTTTGCATTGAGCAAGGCAGGTGCCTAGACTTGTTCCCACAAGAAATGATTTAGACACCTGACTCCAAGAGATGGGTTCCTGTTTGTGGCTCACTGAGCAGAGATAGGTGCCTCCCTGAACTCTGTGTTTAGGCACCAGTCTCCCATGGCTAACTTAGTTGGCACTGTGCCTAGGGTGCTAGGTGTTGTGGATTGCATTCTGTGATGAATATCTATCTCCACTTGTTGTACCTGGACCCTAGGAACCTATTTCAGAATTTGTATATCACCCCATTGTTCCTGTGATTTTTCTAGGAAACTAGAAATTAGATGTGCCACAGTATTGCAGTGCATATATCCGTTTCTGGATTCCAGCCTATGTGTATCATTTCACAAGAGGAGGTGTGGGGGTCGCTGTTGGGTAAGCTTTGTGTGTATGCCATTGTGCAGAAGCGTAGCAGAGGGACATTCAAGAACCAATTTCTTGTGGGTGTAACTGTTTGGCCTAATTTAACACTGGAATAAAATTGAGTGCATCCACACCAGCCACACCCACATCAGCCTTGTATAACATCTGTGCAGAGTGTTTGGGGATTTACCCATTATTCAGATTCCTTGAATAATTGGACCAGATGAACAAATCAAGATAGTCTGTTAAATACAGTGTTTGAGCTAGCTTGTTAATCCTTTTAAAGGCAAAAGGGTCATCTCCTCAAAGGGATAATTTTTTGTGAGTCATGCAGGTGCTCTGCATTCCATATTGGTTTTGTATGGATCTGGAGAAATAATGTGGGTGGGGAGATGACTGAGGGAATAGAAGGAATTCACCAACTGAAAGGAACTGTCAGTCTTGACAGTTGTCAGAGAAGACCTCTTTGAATTCACATCGCCAATTGTGCCAGTATCTTGTGGCCACATGGGGGGACACAATCCATTGAGCAACCACCAATTCAGACTACTCCTATAAACATGTTGGGATAAGTTTTGCTTATTGCTGCCTCCCTAACTGATTGAATCACTTCTGTGTTTGGCTTCAAGATGGTTTCCAGTTGATCCAGAGGGATAAATTAATGTAAGATTACTCTAATATAGAAAAAGCCTCAGTAATCAAGAAAAAAAGATAACTAAACTAACATCTTAGGCTAAGGCTTTGTCTTCATTTAAAACTTTAAAATGCAGCAGTGGCCGCACTTTAATGTGACAGTGTCACCATAGCAGGACCCTAGGTAAACCACTTCCATGAAGGGAAGTAGTAATTGTGCTGGGCTCCTAGCCATGTAGCACTGTCCACACTGGTACTTTAAACCACTATAACTTGTTGCACTTGGGGTGGGAGGAAGGGTAGTTTCACACTCCTGAGAGTAAAAGTTACAGGACAGTAACTTGCCAGTGTAGACAAGCCCTAAGTCTACACTGCCACTTTACTGTGCTGCAATTTTCTGGCTCAGGGCTGTGAAAAAAACACCACCCAGAGCATAGCAAGTTTCAGCACTGTAAAGCACCTGCATGAACCATGCTACAGCAGTTAGCTACTCATTCCCCTTGTGGAGGTGGTTTACATAGGGTGTGTCTAGACTACATCCCTCTTTCAACAGAGGGATATAAATTAGGCACTTCGAAATTTGCAAATGAAGCCGGGATTTGAATTTCCTGTGCTTCATTTGCATAATCGCATCATGGCACTCTTTCGAAAAAGCCCTATTTCGAAAGTAAAACCACAGTCTAGACACAGTTCTTTCGAAAATAGAAGCCTTTTTCAAAAGATCCTGTAAACCTGGAGACAGAGTTTACACCAAACAAATATCCCCTTTTATTCAGTTTTCAGTGCCTGACTTGTACAAAAGTATATGTATTATTTTGAAATATTGCATGTGAAAATGACATATGCAGTTTATTACAATGTGCTAGTTAACTATCTGCCAGCACTGCTTCAAGGCTTTAGTATGGGTTTTTCTCCTTTCCATGCACACAACTTTCACAAATAAACTAAAAACAACAAATAATCTGGTAGCACTTTAGAGACTAACAAAATATGTAGATGGTATCATGGCACAGCCCACTTCTTCAGATAACCGGAGTTTTGAGTTTAGGACGTCCAGACCCAAAATAAATACGTGAGAAGGGGGTCGGGGGAAGAAAAAAATGGAAGGGGAGAGGGAAACAAGCAGAGGGTATGTAAATAACAAAGGGAAAATCAAACAGGCAAAACTGGTAATCTGTAAGCACCTGGATAGTTAAAAGAAGCAGATAAGGATCATAGGACAGCAATTAGAAGGGAAGAGTACTAACACAAGAATCTATACAGACAAAGAGCTGTTGGCGCCTTCATTGTTTGTTTGGTTGATATATCCCAGCCATCCATTATCTCGATTGAGGCCATAGGTGTGAGAATTAAATTTCTGGATGAATTGTAATTCCAACCCTTCTCTGTGTATTTGACTTGTAGAATTGGTCTGTAAAAAGACAGCCACTTAGAGATCTTTTAGGCCATGGGTTCCCAAACTGGGGGGCATGAAGAAATTCCAGGGGGGGCGTGAGGCGACCCAGACCCCCCCAAAATTAATCTCTCTTCCCAAGTTTTGCTGCTATTTTTGTTTTCCAACCCCGGTCAG